CTGAGATTATTTATCCAATTTTAGATAACCAATAGGTCAGTCTGATATTTGTATCAAAGAAGGGAGGAATAACCATAGTCAGGGATAGACCCAAAACCAAGTTTGTGAGTGTCGTGGCCCCTACTACAAAATGTTTATTTGTTAATTAGTATGCATGCGCTACTAAAAAAAAGACATTTGAGAAAAGGTTTTTACATTGGGTATCAAAATATATGATGTAAAAAATACAACTAACAAACTTTTTACATCAGGTATTTATTTGCAATGATATAAAAAATATGAAAAAAATATATTTCGCTACCTATTACATCGGGCAAACGCATCCACCGATGTAAAAAGTTTTCAGAAAAAAATACGGTGGCATTTTTGTAAATAAGAAACAAGGTAGTAGAAATATTAAAAAAAATATGCAATATATTACATCGGTTGACTAAAAACCGATGTAATATCTTCACAACAGATATTAATATAAAAAATAAATTAAAGAATAAAATAATTTTTTCGCAACTTATTACATCGGTTGAAGTATAAACCGATGTAAAAAAGCCAGAAAATCAGCTTGCATCGGTTATTACAATGGACCGATGTAAAAAAGCCAAAACCCTTACATCGGTTGTAAGGTTCCACCGATGTAATAGGTTGTCCATTAAACCAACCCTTACATCGGTTATCCTATTCCACCGAGGTAATAACTTGTTAAACCCTTATTTCACAAATTTCAGTATTTCCACTGTATAATATTCTCCTTGGCCGTCGTTTCCACTCTACACTCACGCTCACGACCCAACCACCGCCGTTTCACTCCTTGCCACTGTACGCTCACGATCCAACCACCGCCATTTCCCAGCCACCATCATCGACCGCCGTTTCCGAAGGTTTTCGACCGCCGTTTCCGTTCGTTTTTCCACCGTTTCAAACCAAACCTCAGCCACCGCTCACCACCACCATCGCGCCAAACCTCAGCCGTCGGTCCCTCTCGCGCGACCTCCCTTCCTCTCTTCTCACACCGCCTTCAAACATCCTCCGCCTCACCATTCTTCATCCTCTCGCGCGACCTCTCTTCCTCTCTTCTCACACCGCCTTCAAACATCCTCCGCCTCACCATTCTTCATCCTCTCGCCTCACTCTCAACCGCTTCCTTTCATCTGCCGCCGCTTCTCTTTGCGTCTCTAGCATTCGACATTTCGCAAACTGTTCGGTAACTCTTCATTATATTATTGATTGTTCTGTGATAATTTCTATGAACTTTGATTTGATTGTGATAAATTGGTTATTGAACTGTGCTGCTGTCAAAATCATTGTTTGAACTCATTTCAACTAAGAAGCAAAACACATATGGCATAGGTATAAAACAAAAGCGTGAGATCTACTTTGCAATATATTAAACATTTCTTTCTCATTGAAAGTAGCTTATGTGATTTTAGTTGGATACAATTTTCCTATGCATCATATTTGTGTAAATTGGTTTAGATGATGTTAAAGTTGAAAATAATTGAGTTATTTTCTCATGTGTGCAGGTCAGATTCATCGGATTCAAAGTCAGATCGCAAGTTCGATAAAAAGCTTCAATTTTATACCAGTAAGTTTTTCGACTTGGTTTAGTAGTACATGGTTGTATCTAAACCCTAACTAAGAGTATTAGGTCAAATCTGTGTTTATAAACACTGACATGTGATCAGCTGTAGTAGATTAGTAGTAGTTACTATTGTAACAAGCATTATAATTTGAGTAGTGTCTAATTTCTAGTATGTTTATTATATATAATTAATTAATTGATTATCATTACCATCTTTGTTGGTTATTCACCAATTTGGTACCATTGCTATGGTGTGAATAGAAGAGACACCCTACGTTTTTCCTTTAGTTTATTTTTCCTGATACATAGTAGACCCTTAGAAACTAATGCTGCACTAGAATGTTTATCCAATAAGAAGTTGATTGTGTGAATACCTTCACGATAATCTATTTTTATATCACAGGAATCTATTAACCATTCCTTATTAAACCTACTTAGTTATCCTTGGATAAACAAAAAAAAAGGTGGAGAATGAAGAACTCTTAGTCGTGCTGGTTGCTATAACTTTGTCGATTGATCGTTTGAGAAATGGACATTAGATTATAGGTGAACCAAGCTTGAGAGAAAAATGGCAGAATTGCTACAAAAAATGAAGTCTTTTGGTCCTGAGTTTTTACTTGTACTTTCCCGATCAATGTGCCAATTTGTGTGTCTAAACTTCATACTTCTAGGACTTTATCTTTCATGTGACTTTCATTGACAACTAATAGTTATGTCATTTTTCATTGGCGAGTAAATTTAGCTATGTGATGTTTATCTTTTTGTATTAGTTCTTTTGGAATTCATCAAATGGCAAATGGAAATAGAAAAAAGGCTACATGGCTTCATCCCAATGTAAGTGTGATGTAAATTGTAATTATATAGTTAAATTTATGATAAGTATTCACTAATTATGTCATTCAATTGTAGACAAGGCAACAACATAACTCTAATGATTGTGGATACTATGTGATGAAAAATATGTTGGATATTGTCTCTGCTAATATAACCGAGAATTGGATGCAGGTACTAAAAATAACTTTACTTTGTTATTTACTTTTTATTTTTCGACTTAATATGAATTTTTAAAAATTAACTCTATATTGTTATATTTATGTATTATAGGTATTTGATGACCCAACAGAATTAACACAAGATGATTTGTATGATTTGCGACTTCGTTGGGCAAAATGTTTCTTTGAGTTACATGCAAATTAAGTTTATCTTGGTGAGTTTTATAGAATTGTATAAGTTGTGGTTTTTGCACAATACATATGGTTTTTGCACATTTGAGTTTCTTGATTTTTTTGCTGATGTTAATTGTTATTATTTATTGTCAGGTAATGTGATTTTGGTGTTGTCTACCGAAGATTTTATATTGGTAATTTAAGTTTGGAAACTTATAAATAGTTGAATATTTTTGTATATTTTGTGAATAATATGTAATTGTAAGTTTTGAAAAAAGACTTATAAATAGTTGAATATTGTTGTATATTTTGTGAAGAATTTGTAATTGTAAGTTTGTTTGTTGTAATACAATACAAGTTTGCAATACAATTGTTCAATTTGTAAGTTTGTTGTGAAAAATATGAAAACATCGACCTAGATGTGATATATGTGATGTTGGAAAGCTATGAAATCTATATAGAGACATAAATATAGTCTGTGTGATATTGGAAAAATATGAAAAAATGGGTACAAATTATATTTGTACAGAGAAACATCCAGAAAATAAATAATTTATTCCAAAAAAATTTCATACATTTTACATCGGTTATTAGTAAAAACTGATGTAAAAACTTTCAAAAAGGGACTTTTTACATCGGTTGGGGATAATAACCGATGTAAAAAGTTGAGTCACTGGGGACTTTTTACATCGGGTATTACTTCCAACCGATGTAAAAAACTGGATCAATTTTTTTTAAAAATATGCATAATAATTGTTTCTTACATCGGTTCATATATTATAACCGATGTAAAAAAAGGACTTTTTACATCGGGTATTACTTACAACCGATGTAAAAAACTGGATCAATTTTTTTAAAAATGTGCATAATAACAGTTTATTACATCGGTTCTTATATTATAACCAATGTAAAAAAGAGACTTTTTACATCGGTCTCAGAACCGATGTAAAAAGTCCCTGATTTACTATATCGCCTGACTTTACATCGGACCCAGAACCGATGTAAAAAGTCAGTTTCACCCGATGTAAAAAGTCATTTCTGCACTAGTGATGCAAATATGTTATTTTATATTTATTTTATAGGCAAATTATAATCATTATATAGAGTACATAAAAGAGAGATATAAATTCATGTATCAAGAGTATCATGTATGTCTTCAAAACTATTACAATATACTAAAATGTATTTCATTTAAACACCTAAGTTTTTAACAGTTATTTTTGGCATATAAATATTTAGTACTTTAAAAATATTTGTTAAATAATACATAAATTATAATTGTCATGCTAAATTTTTTATATAAATTTTTTTGCCCTCACATTCTAAAATTTCTGAGTCCGTCTGTGACTGTAGTGCATAACGAAAAAGGGTGGCAATATGCATTGATTATAGGAAATTAAACAAAGCCACTAAAAAAGATTATTTATCTTTTCCTTTTATAGACCAGATGCTTGAGCGCCAGACCAAACACTCACATTTTTACTACTTAGATGGATATTCGGCGAGAAACAAGCTCTAATATTCTAGAATAAGAGATTTGATAAGTTTTTCAAACACATTTGTTATCTCAACTGCATATCTCAACTGAATAAAGACAATCTTAATTAGTATAATGTACTTTGATCTACTTGTAACTAGGAGTAATTATAGTGATATCGAGAACCTTTAACTTCAGATGATTACTGACTTTGAGATTATGGATTTAGGAGAACCGAAGTATTTTTTTTGGTCTTGAATTTGCTGAAACTAAGAAAGGAACAATGTTCCGGCAAAGGAAGTACATCACTGATGTGCTGAAGAGATTCGACATGTTGAATTGCAACTCAACATGTACTCCTATGGAAGCAAACTCCAAATTATGCTAAGATCAAGATGAAAATGACAAGGCAGTTGACACTATTTTGTACAAGAAAATGGTGGGATGTTTGAGGGATGCTGGAAATTCTAGACCACATTGTAGGCGTGGTAAAAAGATTTATGTGGAAGCAATATTCATAAGTAGAGCTAACAATATGACTCAAATTAAAAGGAGAATCCAAAACCACAATTGTTCATTTAGAAATCTCTAAACAATTTGAAGCATAAAACTAACTGAGTATAAATCGAAGATGAATCTCAATAAGAGACATTATATTATAAAATGTCAAATTATATTTAGGGTTGAGCATGCATGCATGCATGCAGGGATGGCTATACAGACACTACAATAGTTATAGTTATATATATAATAGAAGTTTCTTTGACTTGTGACACAAGGCTTATGCAGTGGGAGTGGCAAGTGGTCCAACTGAATAAGGAATTCCAGAGTAAGTAATCCAAGCATCACGCAGAGTTGAGTTTGCAAGTTCAAAAAACCTTCCTGGATAAAAATCAGCAGCTTCAGGTGCAGTTATGGCTTTAACACCTGGCCATTTCACTCTTTGCTCAGTGTTAGCACCAAGACCCTTGTTGTTGTATTCATAATAAGTGCAAGTTTCCTTGTAAAGACTTCCCATCCATGGCATATAACCCTCTGGTACAAAGATACCATCAATGTTAGAATCCATGATAACAACCTTAGAGAAATTTCTCCATGGTCTTCCCAAATATGCTATCTTGGGGTCCAAGGTAAGAACTTCGGGTTCGCCAGTGAAGTGACAGCTTTGGAAAATAAGGCCTGATGGACTGTCGATTTTGGTTCTTCCTCCTGCTGTAACCATGCATTGTTGATCTTCCATTGGCTTCCTCACAATGAGTTTGCAGTTTTGGAAAACTCCGACAGCATCACCGAAGATGAAGTCGATGGTTCCAGATATCGTGCAGTCGCGGTAGAATTGTCTTTTGGATTGTGTGTAGAGTGTATCTTGGAAACCGTCCATTTGACAGTTGTAGAACACTGCTTGATCCGCGGTGACACGGAGGGCAACTGCTTGATGCTTCTCTGCTCCTGCTGAGTTCTCGAAACCGACGTTGATAGCCATAAAATGAGCAGCATTAACACCTATCAATCAAAAAACAAGTACAATAGGTTAAATCATCAACGAAATTTAATGTTTATAATGAGCTATTAACACGAAATATTTCGGGACTTACTGAATGTTGCAGTGAAGTAGGTCTGAACACCATCAACATAGTTTTTGTTGCCAGTGAATTTGGTCTTGGTAGGACCATCACCAATGATAATAACATGGCTCTTATGTTTATCCAAAGCAACATACTCCTCATAAACACCAGCTTTAACATGAATAACAAAAGGAGTTTTGTTTTTGTCAGGAACAAGTTGAAGAGCCTCAGTCAAAGTCTTGAACTGTCCAGTACCATCTTGAGCAACAATAACATTAGGCTTAATACTCTCAGGAGCCACGAGAAGTTTCCTTTGATTCTGACCAATCCATGTTGGGAAACCATCTTCAGACAAAAGCTTCCTATTAACAGCACTTGACAAAGAGCTCAAGTTAAGACTTTTCATGAAACCGGAAACTCCGTTAATGATATCCAAAGCATTGTGACTTAGCTCCAATGAGGCATTAAGAACCTTAGCCATGGTTTGTCCAGCTTCTGTTGTTGTGTTTTCAAAGCCATCTAAACATGTTTGTTGATGAGAAAGAGTACCTGCGAGCCAAACCTTGAGATCATAAGCATACTCATTCATTTTAGTCAGATCAAACCTGTCCAATGTGTGGATTGATTGATGAACATCATCAACTGCATAACCAAGGACTTCTTTGCAAATCTCCGTAGCTTGTTTTGTCATGTCATTGGTAGCTAACTCATCGTAAAGCTTTGAGTTACCAATTAGATTGAGAAACTCTTCAGCTGTTGCATTCAATGCTGCTTTGATCAACTCCTTCATGTCTGTGGTTTCTGATGAAGCTTTTGCAAGACTGTTCTCGCAGGTTTTTTTGTACTCAGCTGCATCACAAAGTACTTTAACATTCTTTTGTGATTTTGAAATTCTGTTGTCATCACCTCCTAGTAATTCAGCCGCGTCTCCACCATTGGAAACACCGACGGCCACCGCGGCTACCATTGCTATAAGTAAGATCGAAGACACGCCGAGAACGGCGAACTTCTTCTTTTGGTCATGGTTTTTGTTTTCTATTGCTCCTGCTGCCATCCCTATGATTTATTATATTTTTTTTTTGAATTTTTATGAGGATAAATCAAAATCTTTTAGCCCTTGAGCAATGTTTATTTCAATGCCCTGGGCAAACAATGATTTTGATTTGATTTAATTTTGAGATGTGTGAAGCTATTTATATTCACATGTGTTCTCTGAAAATAGTATTAGTGTTGTAAAAATTAAAGGTGGTAATACAATTACTAAACTTGGCATGCAATGTTCACCAGAAAAGATTTTTGACTCATTTTGATCCATTTAATTTTGAGAAAACCATGGTTTAATAGTTTCCAATATAGAGGAGATCCTTGAATCATGGACATATAAAGGAAGGGTTAATATCAAAATGGAAAAATGGGAGGTTGGGATTTTGGTAAATATTAATAAAATTATAGGAGTATGAAATTTTACTTGTATATGATCCATATCTATATTTAGTTATTAAATATTCATATTTTTATTAAATATTCCAATCTATGTTGCATACTATAATCTTATGTGGCAGGTCATAAAATTTATTTTCAACTTATACTTCTACAAATTGAAGTGTGGAAATTCAAATTCAATAAAATATTTTTTTGTTTTCTTAAAATTATAATAATAAAATAACACTTGAAATAAATATTTTTAATCTTAAAGTAGTTCTTACATAATTTTCAAATATAAGTCACTTAAACTTATTTAAAATATAATATAGTATGCAACAATTTTTTACGATGTCTATATACTTTACTACTATTTTTTTATATAATATTAAATAATAAATTAATGAAAAATAACAAAATACTACACAAAAGAGATAAGAGAATTCAAACACAATAAAATATTTTTATCTTATTTTAGACAAAACGGTCTAACAAGTCAATCATTACTCCAACTATGTATGTTTCCTTATTTTTAGAATATTTCTCTCAAATTTCAAAAATAAAATAGATGACAAAATCCCAACAAAATAAAATATTTTTGGTTTCCTTAAATTATAACAATAAATATTACACTTAAAATAAATATTTTTAATCTTAAAGTAGTTCTTACACAATTTTCAAATATAAGTCACTTTAAAATGATTTTAATAAATAATATAGTATGCAACAATCTTATAAAGTTCGATAAATTAGACATAAATTTTATAAAGTTATTGAAAATTTTATTTGATAATAATTGTAAATAAAATTTTAATTTTATTTAATACTAGAAATAAATACATATATTTGACAAATTAAAGTAAAATATCTAAATAAATAAAAAGTGTAAAAAAAATATTTCAAATATAAAAGAGTTGCGGAAATTCATATACAATAAAATATTTTTTTCCTTAATTTATAACAATAAATGTAACATTTGAAATAAATATTTTTAATTTTAAAGTAGTTTTTACATCATTTTTATGTAAAAGGCACTTTAAACTTGTTTAAAATATAATATAGTATTCAATAATTTTTTACGATGTTTATATACTTTACTACTATATATATTTTTATATATAATATCAAATAATAAACTAATGACAAATAATAAAATACTACATAAAAGAGATAAGAGAATTCAAACACAATAAAATATTTTTATCTTATTTTGGAGAAAATGGTCTAACAAATCAATCATTACTCTAATTATATATATTCTCTTATATTAAGAATATTTCTCTCAAATTTCAAAAATAAAAGAGATGTCAAAATCCAAACACAAAAAAATAAATTGTTTTCATTAAATTATAGCAATAAAAATATCACTTGAAATAAATATTTTTACTCTTAAAATAGTTCTTACACAATTTTCAAATATAAGTCACTTTAAATTGATCTTAAAAATAATATAGTATGCAACAATCTTATAAAATTCTACAAAATAGACATAAATTTTAAAAAATTATTGAAAATTTTATTTGATAATAATTATAAACAAACTTTTAATTATATTTAACGCTAAAAATAAATACATATAATTAAAATCTAATATCTAAATAAAAGATAAGTTCAAAAAAATATATGGGAATCAAAACAAAACAAAAAAAAAAACTACTTTATAGATGTATAAGTTTGCAAACTTAAATTACAGATATCACTCTCAATTTACACGTATGTATTTTCTTTACAAATGAGATGTATATTTGTTTATGTGATTAATTTATATTATTGTCTCTATTATAATACACACAAAAAAGTTTGTAATATAAATTTACTAACCATATTTTATCAAAACCAAATTTTAATATATTTAAAATTCAATAAAAAATGAACAAATTAATTTACAATTGCACGTTGCGCTGGTCTTAATCTAATTTAACTATTAATCTAGAGGATAAAAATTTGAGTTGAATAGAGGTTGAATTTTACTAGGATTAAAGTGGTTATTTAGTTAGTCATTTGTTTTGTAAAGTAATTATGTAAGTTGTCAAGTTACATGTCTTAATGACAGCTATATATATATATATATATATATATATATATATATATATATATATATATATATATATATATATATATATATATATATATATATATATATATATATATATATATATATATATATATATATATATATATATATATATATATATATATATATATATATATATATATATATATATATATATATATATATATATATATTCTTTCGATTCTCTTTTATAGTCAAATTTTGACTTTTTAGATTCATTGAACTAGTAAGAAATTTGTGCGCTGAATTCACATTATACATTCATCAAATCATCGTTTGTAAAATTTATTTTCGTTTATTTAGTTAGTTGACATTCACATAGTTAAAATTTATAATCATTGATATGTACTTATAATAAATCGTACATCATATTTTTTAACTTCAATTATATAAAATAACGGCAAAATGAAGATTTAAAATATAGACATTAAAATGAACAGTCTACAGCTAGTATCTCATAGATACGTTTACGTCTACCCGTAAATCTAAAATTAAAATTGTTATATATCTAAAACTCAGAAATCAAAATCAAAATTAATTAAATTAAAAACATTTTTCTAATGATTTGTTTGGGATTTTGAAGGGAAGACTTTGAAAAAAGAGAAGAATTGAGTGAAAAAAATATAAGGATCTAGGTGGGGAGGGTTTTTATTTAATTCAGAGCACAAAGTTCACCTACTTTGGAGAACTAAAAATTTGTATTCAATGAGTTTCGGAGAGTTTTGAAGGGTTTACATGAATTTTCTAAATAATTATGTTGTTATAGTATTATGAAAATTTTAAATATATAAATGATAAACACTCTTTTATCAATTCAAACAAAATCGTTCATTAAAAAAATATCAAATAATTTTCTATATTTTTTAAAAAATTGTTTTTAGAAGCTTTTTCCTCTCTCGTTTCCAAACTCTCTAACAAAACCTAATTAAATTATTATTAAACCAAAATCGAATATAATTTGATACCCTTAAATCTATCCTCCATAATAGCATAACAAGAAAAGAAAAATATTAAACTTTGAAAGATTGACTTAATAGAATAAGTCACTTTGTTTTAACCGATTAAATCGAGTAAATTTGTTGTTGAAATACTTTGACAATTGATACTAATTCATGGAATATTTATTTTAGCCATGTCCATTCTTGTTATAGTTTGACTATATTTATGGAACACCTTAATTCTTATTTTACTCTAACTACCGATGTAAAACTAAGATGAAATAAAATTTAAATGCCTATTAATACTAACTTGATTTTGGCACACACTTTGTACCATTTACAAAATCTCATTTTATTAGTTCCTTTGATAAAAATTTGGATTATACTAATAGTGCATGCAAATTATAAGAAACACTTATTGCACGTATGTTTCAAATTATGGTGCATTCCCAAGTCATGCATGTTCGACAGTGGAAATTTTTAATCAGTATTTTGTGCCTACCATTTTAAAAAATATACTGATGGCGATGGTATAAATTCATGATGTATTGTCTTTACAATTTACATGTTACATGTCAAATGAAAATCTGCAATAGGTCTGGATTATATTTTGACTAATAATGCTTATATTTGATAATTACTGTGTTAAGGTGTCTTATATGATGCATAATTAATTTTAACATAACTATTGTTGGGATTTCCAAGTTCAATTCATTGGACTTGTTATGACTGACAGAGGATTGATTTCACATGTACTTTGTACAAAATTTGGTGTGCATCTCACTTTTGGTACGCTCGAGTCAAGGGTAGTTTCAGCTCCTGGTCAACCTACACTTAAAGATCTGTTACATCTATACAATTTCAAACAACTGAGACCTGAGAGAAAAGTATATGGGATTATTGGGAAGTTATCAGTCACAATAAGTCATCCAAATTGTTTAATGAAGCCTTCAAGACAGTTGGTTATGATGGCTTGCAAATTAAAAATCATGTACAACCATTCTTGACCAAATATATCATGACAGTAGAAAACAAATCTATAACTCTAAACAAACCTATAATTTACGTAAATTTTGTTAGAATTGATAAAACCCTCTAAATTTTGTTTTGAGGCTTCAGAATCATCTTCAAACTTGACATGTGAACATATCTCTTGATCGACAGATTTATTTCCACGACCCCTGCCTTTCCCCCTACCGCTTCCTCTTTCACTCGTATGTGCATGTTCTGGTTGCGTATATCATGAAAAAAACCTCATTATTCAATTAATATTTAACATTGACCAGTAGCCATATATGTAATAAATTTCAAAAAAGGCATTTGCATTTACAAGCCATTTTATGAAATTACATAATCACTTTAATGAACATCTTTTGTTATTGACATTATCAAAACAGTGTTGTCAAATAGTGACTGGTAAAGAATAGCAGAATATCAATAAACCGTTATTGTTCTGGGTTATACGATTTAGTACAATTGTGTTGTCAAATAGCCGACACAACAGTGTTATAGCTAGCAGTGTAGTTGTAACGCCCGTAATTTAATTAATTATTTAATTAAATTATTTTTGGAATATTTGTGAAGAAGTGTTATATTATAATTGGATTTATTTTATTAAGT